AAAATCAGTAATGAAAAAGTGAAAAACTGACAATGGGGGATAAAACTTCTTCTTTTTTTATTTGTATAGAACATATTTTCTCTAAAGAAAAAGGGAAAATAAAGGAAATACTTTATGGTCCTCAAGCAGTCGTCCTTCTACTCGCAACTCCCAAGAAGCCACAGATGCATCGTCCCCGTCACCTCCTTCAGCACGAGCCGGATAAAATGTATTGGAAATGAAGATACGCAACTTTTTCTTGACCTTCATTGGGCGTTTTAATGCTTCCTGTGGGAGATTAGACCATTTGCTTTAAAATAACAACAGAAAAGGGTATCTAACTGAAGAAGGTTAAGCTGAGTTAGAATTAAATCATAATATTGTTTCTATATGATTAATTTTTCTTCTTGACATAATGGATAATGGATCTGTGAATATATAAAGAAATTTGAATATTTTGAAGAATGATTTATCACATTAATCAGAAATTATAATAATGCTTTGAGACTAACACACACACACACACACACACACACACACACACACACACACACACACACACACTCACACTCTCACTCACACTCTCACTCACACTCTCACTCACACTCTCACTCACACTCTCACTCACACTCTCACTCACACTCTCACTCACACTCTCACTCACACTCTCACTCACACTCTCACTCACACTCTCACTCACACTCACACTCACACTCTCACTCACACTCTCACTCACACTCTCACTCACACTCTCACTCACACTCTCACTCTCACTCACACTCTCACTCACACTCACACTCACACTCTCACTCACACTCACTCTCTTATAGGTTTAAGTATTTCCAAAAATGGGACTGTTTAAGAGTTAATAAATTACTTTTCTTTTCTTACCTGTATATCTAATCTCTTCCTCATGATGGTAGCATCTAGCTTCCTCTCAAAGGCAAGAAGATCCATATATGCCTGGCTCTCAGGAACCAAGTCTCGCACCTGCAAGGAGAGATACACATTGTTACAATCAAATGAAATGCCAAAAATGATACATGATTGTAGAGGAATTTTTCTGAATTGTTAAACTGAATGGTATGCACTGATACTGAACTGAATAAGTAGATCCATTGGTAAATTATGCTTCTCACAGAGTCTGTGCCAAAGGAAGGCCAGCATAGTGATGAAAAGATGGGCTATTGTTGCCATTATAGAAACAGGCTTGCCCATTATAACTAAAACAGATTATTTCATTTTAGGTAAATAAACTAAGATGGTTTATGAACTTTATTTTAGCTATAAAATACAAGGAGTACAGTGACTCAAATTACTGAAAATTAGCCCCTGACAGGTGATATTAATAGTTACCACTTCATGCCCTTCTGGGTGATGTCCCTGGTTAAACTGAAGACAAAGTCTCTTGAAGCTAAATGAGACATATATCTATAAATTATATTTACCATTTAGTGATCTAATTTAATATTTTTTAACAAATTCTTTAAAGTATGACAACACTTACCTTTTGAGGCAGAATTTTTTCAGCCAGCTTCTTCTTCTTTTTGGAACTACTGTGGGAGTAATCTGCTGAAACACCCCCTTGGCTTGCACTCTGTGGTCCTCCACTGCTGGGAGTGTTGCCTCCTCCACCTCCACTGTCATAGGCAATTATGAAAATTTTAAAGGTTATCTTCCTGTTACAGAAGCAAGTCATAAAATGCATCATGAAGCATGTAAAATTTATGCTCTTTCAATATCCTGGCACATCATATTTAAAGCTAAACAAAATGAAAGGACATGGAAAATTGCAGTAACCTTAATTTGCATACACTCTCAATTTTAAGAATTACCTTTCATATTAAGGAGTCATATGAACTTAAGGTATTAACATACTGTTACTGTATATATCCAGTCCACTTTAGTTGTGTTTTGATACTTATGTTTACATACAGATAGCTTCAACTGTGCATAGTCACCAAGGATTAAATTACTAGCAGTAACAAAAATAAAAGCTTTTCTTTCCAAAAATATCATTTATATACTAAAATCAGAGCAGGCAAGGTATGTTTACATACCCTCCTAGCACCATTGGGGTATAATTCTGGAATCAATATAATCAATCATACAAATTAGATCCAACTATCTAATTCTAAAAATACAATCTTCACACCTAATTAATAATACTAATTCTGTCAATAGAAAACATTTTCCAGCTAACTTCACAAAGCATGGCAAGTAACTAACAATTAAGGCAGATTAAAATTAAAAATAAATCAGAATTTTGATTGAATAATTCTCTCATTTTTTTTCCCTGGAAAGATGACAAACCTTTTGGAGGAGCTTGATGAAGCTGGCCTTTTAGAGCCGGGTGTTGAAGGCATAGTAGGAGGGCGGACCATGCCACTGCTGTACGGTTGCTGGCCTGGGGGACCTGGCGGCCGCTGCATACCAGCCGCAGGAGTACCACCAGGACCCCCCATACCAACAGGGGGATACTGTGGACGATGCACATTCAACTGCTGACCAAGTTTTTAATTAACATCAACATAAGAGAGAGAATGCACCATTCCAGATTTTTTTGGGGGGTGCAGACTGCAAGTTAATCTATTAAAAAATTAAATGAATTTTGAAAGAATGGTATTTGTAATATAGATATCATGAATCTAGGATACACATCCAGAAGTGGTCTAAATCCCTACAGATCACCAGGCAAGCTAAAAGGGACACAAAAATACATGTTATATGCTTTGCCAATGAAGCAAACATCCTAAAGAGAGATGGCCATTAAGCATTAACTATAACTGTCACCATCATTACCAATTAAATATCTACCCACAATAAACAATGCTCAAGTCTGATGGACAGAAGATTGAAGGAAAATACCTGAAAGAAGCCAATATATACAGTGCCTAGACAATACTTAGGGCACTGCTAGAATTTAAAGAGCATAATAAGATTCATGTTACATTAGCAATGTATATATGGAGTCCATATTATAGTGGACAGTTTTCACAATAACGTATAGCATTAAAGGAACCTGAAGGATATCAAGCATCTAAGATGTAGGCACATGCAAATTAATCAACTTGTAAAAGCCAATATGAACATAAAAATTTTATGGTTTGAAGAGAAACAATAGGTAATCAATGTGAATGAGAGAGAGAGAGAGAGAGAGAGAGAGAGAGAGAGAGAGAGAGAGAGAGAGAGAGAGAGAGAGAGAGAGAGAGAGAGAGAGAGAGAGAGAGAGATTTCTATCCACAGCTGTACTCTTTAGTAAGATTATTAGTTGATAAATCTATCACTGAAATTTACCTATATAGTTCATAAGAGCCCACCTTAGCTAGTTGCCATAATGTGCAGTAGTTTTAATCAGCTGATGCCAAAACTATTCATATAAAATCAAGCATAATGAAGTATATCCTATCCTGTCTCTTGTAACATATACCTTTCTGACAAATGCAAACTACCAATTTGGGCTACAACTTTAGGGCTCTTTTGGGAATTACTGATAGCAAGATCAAATCAGCCTATAACTAACAGCTGCCATTTAAGTAACCAATTTTCCTTCAATAAAAAGCTGCATCAAAATGAAACTAAATATTCTTTTAAAGGACAATGAAACCTGTGAGCTATGTTTCAGCACTGATGAATAAAAAGGATGTGTTCTTATATTTGTTCATACCCTTGAGAGGCTTTTCCATGCACTTACACTGACAGGTATTTTTTTCTGGGCCAATAATCCAAATGATACCAGTTATCTGGCCAAGTAGAATCAGGAAAAGCTGGCTGCATTTTGATGCCTAGCAATTTTTGCAAAATGACTGGAGAAAAACAAAGAGATTTGAGTAATCTACATTGAAGTTGACAATGGAATGTCTGAACTGTAGCCTCCTATAGTTTTATAAAGAACAACTATACCACAAAATTACTAAATGCTACAAAATCACTTTCTCTTCACTAATGGAAAAAAAACATTTCATAGTAGCATATGTATAAGGTATGACATACATAGGCTCTATTATACCTGAATACAATGGAATAAGATTTGTTAAAAAAAGCTGGGAGGTAGAGAAGTGGCAACTCCCCCTCAAAAGAGGTTTAAGTGCTAGATCCCCTTGATAGCACCCTACTGCAGTTATTCCCACCCAGAGACCCTGACTTCCTACCATTTCCCAAAAGCTGTTAAGGATGGGGTTGGGTGAAAGGCTTATACTTATTGCAGTGCTGCCAAAATAGACACCTGTAACTATCACAGCTTGATACTTGAGCCCAGAAGCCAAGCAATTCCGACAGTAGATGGAAGCCAAGAAAAGTATCAACATCGATATGGGCAAATTATTTGTAGATGCAAATATATTGAACTGTAAATTATACCAAGAAAAATTTGAAATTCCATTTGTTTTAGCAATATTATATCCCTCCATCCATTTAGGTTGCTTACCCTAGGGGTTCAAGGAAGCAGAACTCTCTGGTAGGAACTATATAAAAAGCACATTGCATCACTCTCATGGGGGCCCAGGAGGCTGAGCCCCCTTGCTTGGGAATATATAAAATCTAGTGTATAAATCCCACGAGATTAGATTAAGATGGTTTATTGGACATATTGTATGACGGCCACGGGGGCTTTGGATGGTGTGAATTCTCATAGATTTGACCGAAGAGGGAATAGATTCCCTTTGAGTTTTTAGGAGAGTTGGTATGTCAGTCTGTAGACTTACAAAGGTGGTGGGCACGTCCAGAGTTTCATTAGCCAATATTTAGTGTTTTTTGTTTATATTCTTATTTCAGCCTCTTTTACCTCTTAATTTCCTTGATATACTCAGTGCTCTCCCCTGCTATCAAGTCATCAAGATAGTGGCCATGATTGTGATGGAAATAATCTTAAAATACGTTCTCACCATAGTAGATTAAATCTTATACAAATATTATCCTGGGATGCCGAATTGTCACTATCGAAAGAATAACCAATTTAACAAACCATGCGGGATTTAAAGGAGGCAGTTGCCGCCATGAAACAGGTTTCTGGGGCAAATCCC